CCTAAGAATAGTTATATTTAAACTGTAATAAGTTGTACACTTTCCCACTTTGAAACTGCTAAAATTGGCAGCAAAATGAGGATGAACCATCTTTGGACCTATAGGTGCTGGGTACTGCACCATGCTAGCTAACATGAACCTCCAAAAGTCAAAATCCTCCTTAGGACACATGTGTTTAACCATGTCTGAATTCTCTGGAGAACAAAATTTCACTAATTTGAAGACTCAACCTTTAAAAGAGCAAACACAAAAACTAAATGACACAGAACCATATTTGGAATAATAGGTGCTGGCACTTGCTAACTTGAACCTCTGCATGTAAGTCAAAAACCTTGCTATAATGACACATTTCATTTGAACCGTGTCAAGTCTCTTATTGAGAACAGTTTAAGTTATATCTCACTAAATTGAAGACTTTCTCCCTTGAGACTAGTTTACAATAATTTCATTCAGGTTTTTGTGCTATTATATTATCGAGATAAAAGATGAAGATTAAATTAAAAAATGCAACTACACTTTTCAAAAAGCTTTTGCGGGTCCCTTATGCTTTTGATTCCCCCATTTTAAAATTACAAATTTATTTAATCAAACAAAGTTGAAGCAAAAAGAAAATTAGCATGAGTGGATTTACAACTGAAAAAAAAACTTTGCTGTTACTGAATTTGTAAAATTTATTTAACCTGTAAATATTTACTTTTACTGAAATAAAGCATTTCAAATTCCTTCAATGTAAAATCTGAAGCAGGAATGCAAGAAAAATCACCCTCCATTGATTTAATCAATTTCCAGGAAACATTGTATTCGCTAATATGAATTTTAAATTTCCAAAATTTATGCTGATCATTTTATTTTTTTATTTCATTGGTGTGTTCTTGAATTCAGGCAGGTGATGCGCAAAAAATATACCATTCAAAGGTTTGTGACTTGAAGAAGTCTGAATTGCCAAAGTGCAATAACTCTGCATCTTTTTTTCTGCACAAAATATCCTCAAGAAACAATTTTTCCAGCCATCCCGCTTAGAAGCTTCCTTCATTATAAGTTCAAGCAAATAAAAAATAAAATAAAAGGAACCATATACAAACCTGGTCGAAGAAGATGAAGTAGGGGTGGAAAACAGTGACGTTGAATGTCGATTTATCCGCGATTCTCCTGGCAAACTCCATTATCCTCCGGTCGTCATTGAGTGAAGTCACATTCGCCACTTGAACAAAGAACCTCGAGGCCGTGATCTTGGTGTAGTTGGCATCAAACCTGATGTCCAAGGCGTCTTCGTTTTCTTCTCCAACCAGGAAATACTGATGATGAGGATAAAGAATGAAAATGTTTCATCGTTCCACTTATTTATTCTCATTGTCCCTCATATATATACCGAACACCGGTTATACGAAAAAAAAGAAAGAAAGAAAAGAACTTTTCCCATCACTCACTTCACGCAAGGAGTCGATGAAAGACTGTTTGTTGGACACGTCGATTTCGAGGTACTCTGAATTGAGTTTGACAAAACTCAGCCACTGACGAAGCCAGCTTTCAGTGTAGAAACTTTCCGCGATCATTTCGTCTTCTTCCAACTCGTCCAGCAACTTGTCTAGTCCTTCTTGGACCAATTTATCCGAATAATCAAGGTCTCCATTGATCACAACCTGAAATAAATTCAGTCGACCAAAATACTTGAAATCCTCACTTTTCCGATTGAAAAACAAAATCCTGCTGTTCAATTCGTCGTTCATTCAACAGAAAAATAAATTTCATCTTCGGATTTACTGCATTATTGTCAGGCTACAAAATCTGATTAATTGAAGTTGACCAGCAGTAGAATGTCGTAAAATGAATCTCGTTATAACGAATTATCGGTCACAAGAAAGTCCTTCTGTCCAATAGCAATGCTTTTCAAATAACTTTACAATAAGTATAACGAATTTGTTGTTATTACGAAGTACTTTAATTATCCTGGTCACAACAGCTTCGTTGTAAAAAAAATTTATGCCAATCATTAAATTTGAATAATGTGAGGAAAATCGATGAACGTTATTAAAAAACGGAGATGATTTTCCTTCAAATATCTTAAAAATTCCTGTAACGAAGAATAGAGAAAATTTATTTCTTGATCTGGTTACATTTTCTTGAGGTAATAGCACGCAAAATTAAATCACGGATTTTATAAATGTTAATTAACTTCAATTTGATGAAAATCGAATGTATGAAAATTACCACTTCTGGAAATTCAGAGAACACGATAATGGAGGACAAGAGCATGTTTTCAAGACCAGCAGCTTGAAATAAGTTTTACGTCCGATGACGTCGACTATTTGCTTGCTTCTAAAAAATTCCAATTATAAAAAGTGCTCTTTATTCCGCAGATAAACTCGAAAATGAAGTAAATATAATTACCTGGACTTTGTACGGAAACTGCCTGAAATATTCTTCTTCCATGTTGTAGAACTGGACAGAGTACGAGTCATCGCGTGACAAACGTTTCCGCTCGAGGCCCTCTTGCAATTTTTGCAGACCAAAGAGTGCCATTGCCAAGTATGCCAAAAATACCATGATGACCAATACCTGCAAAAATGAAAAAAAAAATCTTTTTTATTTTGTCGGAGAAAAAATTAAACACACAGCCTTCAAAATGCGGAGAACGACGAGGATTGAAAAATTTCCCCGAGTATAATTTCGGAAAATCCTAATGAATGTCTTCAATTTTTCTGTCGGGCAGGATATTAAAAAAAAATTGACATCATTTCTGCTCTGAAATTCTCATTATACAGGTGCGTTGTGGGAAATTAATCGAGCAATAAATCACCTTAATTGCTGGTATATTGAGCAGTCGACTCCACTGGTTCCCAAAGAATTTCATGATGCAATGATCCGCGTTGTCTTTCTTGTTTTTTGGGTCGACTCTGGAAATTCCACCAGCACAAAACAGTCGATAAACGATGCTTCTGTTCCCTGTAAAAGAAAATTATTCAAAAAGGGTCATTAAAATTTGTTTTTGCAATTCCCAATGTCGACATCTCCGTGATTTTTTTTTTTGCCATTGCACAGGTCTATAATTTCCATATCATTTATTCTAGTTTTTTTCAGAGAATATTTTCAGCTGGTTCCTGTCTATTACTTGCTTTTATACAAGCCTTCATTCCTCTTTGAGAGGAGAAGTGAGAATCTTGTGTTAAAGGGCCTTGTAACTTAAATTTCCTCATTCAATCTTCTGAGATAACCAACCAATCTTACAATTGACTCTGCCATTCCAAACAACCATTTCATTAACCCTTGTGCGGCAAAGTTGGGATACATTCACAAAATTTCGTGTCACTGAGAACTGGGAATTTAAAAAAGGCCTCTTTTGTACAAAGGCCTGAGTCAGGAAAAAGTCCAACATTTTTTTCTAATCCAGCAGGCAATTTTGGATGAAAAATAAAAAAATCCCTCTCTGGGTGGCGTTTTTTCCTGCATTCCTGGTATAGGATCAGCATGGAAGATTCCTGAAAACAAAGGAGAATTCGTCTCCTGGATTTTTTCCAACTTAGGCCTTCTCAATGTGGGAGCATTTCAGCAACCTTGGGTCAAACTGAAATGCTCCACCTCCCCAATAATATCCTGACTTTGCCTCACCATGGAAATGAACCCTCTGCCATCCAAGGGTTAACAGCCATATAACAATCTGGGCAATGAGAATGAACTCCTCCAAAAAGAGCCTGAATTCTTATTCAAAACTTGCATTCTGATGGCTGCACAATTCAAATTCCTCGGTCTGCTGGGATCCAATGGACCCAATGACAGTTTTATTTCACAAGGCGTAAGAATTTATTCCCAAACATTGCAAAACAAATCATTATAAAGCACAGAATATATACATCGTACTAAATTTATATCCGACACACTAAGAATAAGGAACACCACCTTTTCGGAGAAATAAAAAAAATATTTCTGTTTTTTTTTTTCCTTCTTCAATTCTGCTTCGCTTCTTATCCCACCTGCTGGAATCGTTTATTCGCACCTCATATACCGGATGCAGCCGGTAATTCACAAGCGGAAAAGACTATGGACGAGAGCGAGAGGAAGCCGTAATTAGGAGTAATTCTCACCTGCTTCCGATCGCGGAGTGACAGGAATGCACAGCACGCCGTGACGATTGTTCTCTTCCGCGTTCCCGGCGTAGGCCATGCAAGCCCCGAAGAACGTGATGTGGAAAAAATACACAGTAAACACCGACGCCCCTGTAGAAAAAAAAATGAAACAATAATTTAAAGAAACAAACCATATATGTACGAGGGTTCTAACAAAACTTCTTGGAGTAGCGATGAAAATGGCCTACACAGTTGAGCTGAAAATACATTTTTCTTTAGGGAAAACATATTTTTTTGGCACACCAAAAAATATCAGCCCTGTTTGACAAATGTTTTTAATTTTTTTTCATAATTCACCCTGGCAGAGTTTTGCTCGCCACTCATCAAAAGATGAGGCGCCCTTTTTTTGTTGTTGCCCAGCTTTCCCCTCAGAATTTTTGAAATCAACTTGGCATTCTTTCTAAGGGTTGCCTCCAGGTCATCCAAGATAATTCCGCCATTTTCATCAACAGCCGCCTTCACAGCCACCAAAGTGGCGGCTTTCAAAAAATATGCTTTCAAAAAAATAAAAATGAACCTGTGCTCATAAAGGTTGGCACGAAAGGTATATAATATACACGCTTCGGCGACCGATCGAGACGATGAATATTTTGGAAAAATTCTTCGTCCAATGACTCCAGAAAAAATAATCCAAACTCGTTGAAATATTTTGCAATTCAACGCAGGATTTTTTCATTGACCTCACAGCCGTGGTTTTGACTTTTGAGGATTCTGACTCAGAAACTTTAGTGCAAAAAGAAAAGAACTTCCTTGAAAATTATAGTGACACCATTTTTGAACCTTTCTACCAAAACAACAAAAAATTTGGTACCCGCAGAAAAAGAAAACAGAAAGTTTCTTCGGGTATCCGGAAACTTTCTTTGAAACAACTGTCACTTAATCTTTATGCCATAATTCTTCATCTTCTCTTATTTTCCTCTTTCTTTCTTTCCATAAATGTGTCACACGAAAATGTTTTTTAAATCTTCAGTGACTGAGTCAAGACGGCGTGAACGCAATTTACGTGTGTCCAGTATGTTTTTTTTTCTCTTCCTTCCGGACATCGTCCGTTGAATTCGATGACCGGAAACAAACGAGGAAAAGAAAAGACCGGATGAGAACCCGGGGTTTTACAAAGGAGAAAGTTCGGCATTTTTATGAGAGATGATGCACGTGACCCCTTTCACTTACAATGAAGGAATTTTTACACGCGTCGAAATTATTATTGAGCAATATTTTTGAATGAAGTTACCGTTTCAAGATTCGGTAAACCTGAGCCCAGTGAATGTGATCACCTGCGTTTTCAGCTGAAATGCAATAAAAGACATTCCTATTTTTACCAGGTTATTTTGTTGGACAGATAAAAATGTATTATATATAGTGATGCCTCAATATATGGACACTCTGGATGCTTTGACTTAGGGACACTTGAAAATCAAAATTTCTGCTTCAATATCCAGCAGACATCACCTTATAAGTTAAGGACAATTAACCAACATTTTTAGAAAAATGGAAAAGGTTTCTGTTTCAAAATTTTGAAATACAGTTGTAGATTTCCCAGTCTTGGGGAGGTTTTGATATAGAGAAGGAAGCATTTTGTTGTGGAAAACATAAAAGAATTCCAGGAAATTTTAAATGGTGATATTCTGGGCCTTGAATTACTTCTTAAATGAGTTGGAAGGATGCTGAAATTAGAGGCAGGGTTTTGCACTTCCTTTCAAAAAATATCAAGTTTTTTGTTGCTTTTCTCTCTCCTGTTTCAAGAAAATCATAACCTGAAGGCCTTAAAAAATTAGAGTTACCAAGGGTTGAGTGGAAAAAGCTTTGACTTTGAGAGGTTTTTTAATGCCTTGTTTCTAAGGGAATTCAGACAGGGGCCTTTTTTGCACCTCTCACCCACCCCCTTGTAAATTTTGAGAATATGTGCACTCTCTAGATTTATAAGGTAGCATTAAGTTTTCTGGTTAATTACTGGTTCCTAAACCCAATTTAACCCTAAATATAGCTCCAGAGAGCAACAGCAGCAGCTGAATAATGGAAGGAGTTGGCCAACAAATCTTGTTGGTGAAAGGTTTCATACAAATGGTTCTTGTGACCATCTCATTTTCCCATGGTCACAAGAATCATTTGTATGAACCATAAAACTGCCTAAAATTTAAAAAGGAATTTCTACACAGCTTAAGTTTCAATCCAGCTATTTTGAGTCAAAAATTGGTTCAGCTTTTTGGCCCACCCTGTACTGTACATGTAATACAGTGTACAGTACAAGGTTTGGTTCAAAAGTTTTGAGACTTCTTGAAATAGACCCAGCGGTTTTTCAATAATGAAGAAAAAGTGTTTTTACTTGCACAGTCCCATCATTCGGGAACACTTCAGTGCTGTTCAACATATTCTCTGCCCATTGAAATTTATTTTTTCATGCAATTAAATCTAAAAATCATAACAGTGCCAAAAATAGAGTTCTGTAAGTTGATTATAGGCACCCTGTGACTTTTGGCTGTCCTCGACAGTGAAAAAGGGGATGGTGGAATAACGTCGTAATTCCAACACCGGATTACTGTCGTCAAGCCTATCCTGGAACAAACTCGTGAAAAAAATATTTTCGCACTTCACAACTGGACCAACCTTGTACTGCAAAAAATTCCTCAAGTCCCAACATCTTGGGTAGAACATAAAGACGATGTTATTCCTGACAAAGATATTCCGCGACGAGTTTAATTTGTGACGACATTATTCCTGGCTGACGAGGTTGGGCCTGGCGATGTTATTCCAGCCACCCTGAAAAAGGATTGCTGAAAGGGATTGATTTTGATTGATTTTGAGGACAATGAACAGCCCAAATTGGTTATTGAAAATTTTGTTTTCCAGAATTCTGAGGGGAAAGCTGGGCTACAACAAAACAATCTGCAGGAAGGGTGCCTCATCTTTTGAGCATGGAGAGTGGAACTCTCTGCCAGGGTGACTTTTGCCAAACATAAAAAAAAAATGTGCCAAACAGCGCTGATATTTTTTTCTCGTGCCCAAAAATATGGTTTTCCTATAAAAAATAATATTTTTTTCAGCTCAATCATACACCATTTCAATTTCTATATATATATTTTTTAGAACTTTTGTTAGACCCCTCGTCGTAACCAACCCCCCAGCAATCGCAATGCAAGGAATCCTCTGCTGCCAGAAAAACCTCACCAGTGTAGAGACAGAAGATCCGGACGCAGGGAAACGTGGTGAAGGCGCCCACGAAGAAGCTGAGCATGTCCGTCATCGACGTGATGGTGATGGACACCGCCGCGTCGGCATAGGCGTGTGCCAACCGGTCCCGCGTCGGACTCGTCGCATCCGTTCGCCGCCACGCCGACAGCATGACGAAAGTGTCGTCCATTCCGAGCCCTGGTTCGAACAAGGATGACGAAATGTATACGGATCACATTAATGACGACGATGTGCAAGCAGCAGCAAAAGAGATGACGATTCTGCTTCTATATATATATATTTATTTATATAAAGCTGCTGGCTTTTTCCCAGCCCATATATTCATCAACAGATGTATATACAGTATAAAGAATACTGTTCTGTAAAATCTCGTTACAATAATAACGAAGTCGCTGGGACCAGCAGTAAAATAGGAAATTTCGTTGTGAAAGAACTTTTCAACATTGCGGCTGTTGGCCAGCGATAAAAAAACGGCTTCATTTTAATCAAATATTTGTTAGACTGTGATTCGTTCTACCGAGATTCTACGATATGTCTACTGTACAGTATATTTTAGGCGCCTTGATTGACCAACATGAAAAATTACGGTATTTTTCAAGTACCGTTTGCATTCTTAAGTTTGAAACAGCATCTAATTTTTTTTTTGCTGAAATTTTGACAATATCGATGTTCCCCTCGATACAAAAAGTGTCCCACTGTAGTTTTCAGGCATTTTTTGATTTCGAAATATCAGGGGATATATGACAATATATACGTTTCAATGTACGGTATATATACTCAAATGAAATAATTTTTTTTTCATTTTTGCCCAAATTTAATAAAAATGCAATGTTATGTCAAATGCATTTGTTTAATGTTTCACGTGGAATTTTAAGGATGCCTGCTGATCACATGTACAGCACAAGCATTCATGCAGAAATATTTCTGGAAAAGTTCATAACCCCGAATAAAAAAATTAATTCTAGCTTCTTTTTTTTTTAGTGCGGAATTGTGTAAATATATTTTTTCATCGCTGCCTTTTATATATATACTGGTTAACCGTTGCCTTCTCTTTTTATCTTCTTGATTATTCATATTTAAAAAAATTCTGATAATGAGAAATATGCGGCGTATGTTTTACATCAAGTCTGCTTTTATACCTAGTATATTATTATTGCCCTTTTTATCACAATAAAGCCTTGTTTGGGATCAAAAACATTCTCGACAAAACATTTAATACAGGATGTAACCTTGCTTTTATGTGAAATCAGCTGTTTTTAGACTGATGAATAAGTAATAGCTGATGCAGAGCATGATTATTTGCATACGTATTCCTAAATCATTAGATTTGAGTGAATTTAGAATTAGTATATCGACAGGAAGGTTACTTTTTGAATTTTTTTTTCATTAGATTCCGATTTACGTTCGATTAATCTCAACCGTAATATATCCCAAGTTGGCACGATTTGTCAAATTCGGGACAAGCTCTCAAATCTTCTTGATTCAACTTCCAAGAAAAGGATACAAATTTGAACCAACATTCAGGGAATTTGCAGATTTTTACTCAATTATTCACTCCCAAGTCTCAACTCAGTCACTAAAATCTGCTCCAATACTCCCCACAGAAAGAAATGGAACGTTTGAGCAAAAAGGCAAAACATTCCAAGGAAATATTCTTTTCGACGTTTTAGTGAACGCCTCTGTAAATACCTATAAATTTCTCCGAAATCTTCAGCTTTCTTTCTAAAATTCATGCGAAAGTTATTCAAATATAGAGAGATTTCGTTTTTTGCTGAATTTTTCCACGGAAGTTGTGGGCGTCGGAAACAACTTCGAAAAATACATATAAAAAAATTCCTCAGTTTTATTTTGGACATAAGTCCAAAAGTCGAGGCAAAAACGAACGGTTTCCTCGCTTAACAACTCTTCGTTCCGCCTTTTTCGGTCCGGCGGGTTAAAAGATCACGACTCGTACCCACTTTTTTTTTCTTCTCTTCCTACAAACGGTTCTTCCAATAAGATTCCACCGCGTGGACTTGGTTGAATAAATAAATAATAATAATAATTGACAGAGCAAAAAAAAAAGGAAGAAGAGATGGCCGAGCATGAGAGAAATTTTCGCGACCTTGGCCTCTGTATATATATGTATGTATATACTACGTATGTGTTTGAATGAACACACGGCATCAACGGGAAAGCGCAGTCATCTTATTCTCAGTTTCCCCCTTTTTTTCTTCTTCTTCCTTGAATATTCTTCCGCTCTTTTTTTTATGTTGTTCTTTTGAGTGCAATTTCGTGTCCACGTCGCTTCCGAATAACCTCTCCTCATTTTAAACAGGGTTCAGAAGCATAGAAACATGAATGCTGAGAAATAAAAAAAATAAAATAAAATAAACAAAGAGTATAATTTCCACCGGCAATGTGTGAATGAAAGGAAGCAAGAGAGTTTCTCGGCTCTTTGCTCATGTTCGGCTCTTTGCGCTGAGTCATTGTCACGAATAAGGAAACAAATTCACCTGGGATTCAACAGCACATATTCTTCTGCCATATCACCGTTAACGAATTCGAATATTATCCGTG